GTTATGGATGAATTCAAAGATTTTCTGACTAACAGCTAAGGAATTTTGAAAACAGTAAAGGCAATGGGCAACTTGAGGAACAAAGGAGCCAAGTTTCTTGATATGTAGACAAAGTTTTCTTGGTGATGGGAAACTTCCAAGAAAATAGAGAAGTGTCTTAAAAGGTGTCTGGAGTACCTGGCTGGGCTCAGTGGCTCATCCTGTAATCCCAGCACTTTGGGAGGCCAAGGCGAGGGGATTGCCTGAGCCTGTGGGTTTGAGACAAGCCCAGGCAATTTGGTGAGACCTCATCTCTACAATAAATCAAAAATCAGCCGGGTATGGTGGCACACACTTATGGTTACAGCTGCTTGGAAGGCTGAGGTGGAAGTATCGCCAGAGCACAGCAGGTTGATACTGCGGTAGCTGTGAGTGGGCCACTGCACTCCAGTCTGAGTGACAGAGTGAGACTCCAACTCAAAAAAAGAAGAAGAAAATAAAACGGTGTCTGGAGTACCCAAAATATAGCTTTACAAAGTCACGTCTGATATTAAAATTACCTCCTCCTGTTTCCTGTTCACTTGAAAGTTTACTCTCCATTCTCTAACTTTAAGTCTGTGGGTGTCCTTTATCATGAGGTGTTTTTCCTGGAGGCAACATGTTTTTGGGTCATGCTCTTTTATCCAGTTTGCCATTCTATGTCTTTTCATTGGTGAATTTAACCCATTCATATTCAGGCTGATTTTTGAAATGTGAGAGTTTTCATTTTTGCAGGCGTGCTGTGTGATCTATTGCTTCTGTGTTTTTTTTGCGATCTTGTGAAGTATATGATCTTTCTTTTGTTTCTTTTTTCTTCAGTGCACAGCACCATTTTAAGCATCTTCTGTAGAGTTGGTCTGGAAGCAGCATATTCTCTTAGGGATTGAATGTCAGGGAAGGATTTTAATTCTCCATCGCTGATGAAGCTTAGCTTGGCTGGGTAGGAAATTCTTGGTTGAAACAATTTGCCTTTCAGAACATTAAAGACTGGATTCCATTTCCTTTTGGCCTGTATTGTTTCTGCAGATAAGTCTGGAGCAATTCTGATTGGTCTTCCCCTGTAGGTAGTTTGACCTTTTTCCCTTGCTGCCTTTAGGACTTTTTATTTTATACCTATTTTGTATAGTCAAATTACTATTTGTGTAGGAGTTGTTGCTCTCATAAGATGTCTTTACAAGGGTTCTCTGAATCTCCTGTGCTTGTATAGCTGTCTCTCTGGCCAGACGAGGAAAGTTTTTTTGAATGACCTCATGGAATGTTTGTTTCAAGGTGTTTCTGTTTCTCTTTCTACTTCAAATATGTTTGGTATGTCAGGTATGTGTGCTGATCAGACATAGGTTTGGCTTTTTGATAAAATTGTACATCTCTTGGAGAAATTCAACAACACATCTCAAAAATTATCCACCATGACCAAGTAGGCCTCCTCCCCAGGATACAGGGCTGATTCACCATCTGAAAGTGCTTTCTTATGGTTATATATATATGTTAAACTTATATTGAATATATATATAGAGAGAGATATTTTTTTAATAGATTGGGTTAATAATTGAGTTTTTCAACTCTGAGATTCTTTCTGCTGCTTGGTCAATTCTACTTCCTATGCTTGTCAATTTGTTGTTTATTTCTTGGATAGAGTTCTTTATTTCTGTTATTTCTAAATATGCTTTCTTGAGTCTGTCCAACTCCATTGCAATTCCAATTAGTTTTACCCCTTGCATTTATTGACTCTTATTCATTCTATCAATCGATTCTCTGATCTCTGTACCTTCTGGACATGGTCTTTCTCAGAGAAAGTCATTGTTTGTGCTTGAGTAGCTTTTCTTTCAGGGGCTGTCTCTTTGTGGGATTCTGAGGTTTACCAGTAATTTTTTTTGTTGGTTTTTCTTCATTGGTAGCAGTTCTCTTCTCTTTATCTTTAATTCCTGTGCTCAATTGGAAATGGAGAAGCAACCACTTATGATGTTAGCTCTACCTTCTGACCTTCTCTAAGCCAGGCCTCTGGGTCTGTTCAATTATGAAATAGGGTGGGGTGGGATGTTGTGCTATCTTTTTACAATTCTGAGCACTTACTAAGGGGTATGGGAGGGGTCCCAAGGAGTCAGGACCTACTGACAGGACATAATACTTGTTATCTAGTGGATGGCTCAGCTTGAACTTGTTCTCTGTCTCTACACAATTTAATCTTACAATGGGTACACTTGTGTAGCCCCTTAGTCCAAGATAGAGTATAAGAGAAAAGAGAGGGAAGAAGGAGAGAAAGAATGGAAAAGAGAAAAAAGAAGAAGGAAAAAGGAGGAAAGAAAATAGAAAACCAACCAACAAATAAACAAACAAAACAATCAAACAGAACAAACAAACAAAAAAGAGAAAGAAAACACACACACACACACACACACACACACACACACACACACAAACCTGATGGTAGATTTCTCAGCTTAAGTATATCTCTTTGAGACTGGCTTCCTCTTGTGGCAGCTTCTAGGACTGCAAGTCTGTTACTGTAGCTTCCCCCTTCACTGTTAACACTTGAGATGTTAGAATTTTCACTCCTGCTGCCTGCTGTTGATTACTAGCACAGGCTTGTGGGAAAAAGATGACTTGACTCAGTGCACCCAGATTGCCTCCCCCCTTCTTTCCTCTCCCAGTGTGGTCACAGTTCCCATGGCATCCAGTTCGCACCGGTAGAATGGAGCCTCCAGCCTCTACCCTGCCCTTCTGATCTCTTCTGCTCATTGCTGGTGTTGGGGGTGGGGGATACTCAGCTAGGTACTCGCCAGCTTCCTTCTTGGTCAGATCTATTTTGTGCTTCTATCACCCAGTAGCTGGCTATGGAGGGGGCAGGGTGGATCATCTGGTGCTCTGCATCAGCCGTTACCTACCAGGACTTGTGCACCAGGGGAAGTCCTCTCTGGGTTCATGGAAAGCGACCCTAAAGCAATGCAGAGGTCACCCCTTGGTTTAAGATTCAGATCTGCTGTTCTACGGAGGTCACCCTGGAACACTTCCCTGCCCAGACTTTAGCCTAGCCTGGCACTGGAAGTGGTGGCAGTGAGTCTAAGTGGCAGGTGGTAGTCACTACCCATCCCTTCTTCAGGATTCTGCCTCTGGCTCTCATGTAGTGCTCCCTCTGCTGCCCTTGATGCCAGTGTCTGGCCTGGTACCATGGTGGTAGGGCAGGCAGCTTCTTCCCGGGTGCCCTGTTTAAAGAAAAAAAGAAAAAAAAGAAGAAGAAAAGAAAAGAAAATGGCCCTGGGAAGCACTAGAGTCCAAGCAGAGCAGTTACAGTACCTGCCGTTTCACCAGGAGAGTCCTGGTCACTTGCTCTCAAGTCCCCTCTCAAACAACCACTCACATGCCTACTTAGACACACAGACACGTACGCAAATTCGTGCGATGGTGGGGCTGGCAAATTTCTTCCCAGGAAGGGCTTTGTTGATTTTGGAAAATGGGGCTCAACTTCCTGTACTGGAGTCTATCCCTTCTTTTAGTTCTAATAATATTTGCTTTATACTTCTGAGTTCTCCACTGTGTAAATATACCTAGAATATTTATGTCTCCTTTATCATTATATAATTTTTTTGACTCTTTTTATAGTTTTGAATTCAAATATGTTCTATCTGATGTAAGTATAGCTACTTTGGCTTGCTTTGGGGTTCCATTTGTGTGTGTTACCTTTTTCCATCCCTTCACTTTCATTCCAAATGGATCTTTACAGGTGAAATCGGTTTTCTGTAGGCAGCATACAGCTGAGTCATGCTTTGTTACACTTTCAGCTAGTCTGTATCTTTTACTTGGGAAATTTAGGGTGTTTTTTTTTTTTCTCACTTTTTAAAAATTCACGATTATTATTACAGATGAGAACTTATTTCTGTCATTTTATTAATTGTTTTCTGGTTGTTTTGAATATGCCTTCTTTTCTCATATTGTTTATATTGTGATTTCATGGGTTTCTGTAGTGGTAGCATTTGTCTTCTTTTTCTTTCTCATTTGTGTTTCTATTCTACAAGTGAGTTTTATACTTTTTTTTTTTTTTGACTTAGCGTCTTACTCTGTCACCCAGGCTGGAGTGCAGTGGCACACTCATGGCCATCACAGCCTCGATCTCAGGCTATCGCTCCACCTCAGCATTCCAAGTAGTTCGAACTACAGGGATGTGCCAGCATGCCTGGCTAATTTTTTTTTTTTTTTTAATTTATTGTAGAGATGAGGTCTCACCAGGTTGCCCAGGCTGGTCTCAAACCCCTGGACTCAAGCAATCCTCTCATCTCGGCCTCCCAAAGTGCTGGGAGTTTTATACTTTGTATGTTTTTATCATAATAGCTAACCTTTCATTCCCAGATGTAAAACATCTCAAGCATTTCTATTTTATCTTATTTTATTTGATTTTAAGTTATGGAGTATAAATGGGGATCTGCTACATAAGCAGGCTGCATGCAGGTGAAGCTTGGTCTTCTAGCCTTAAGCATTTCTTATTGAACTGATCTAGTGGTGATGAATTCCCTTAGTTTTTCCTTGTCTGAAAAAGACTTTCTTTTTCCTTCATATTGGAAAGACAGCTTTGCTAAATATAATATTCTCAAATGGCAGTTTTTGTTTGTTTTAGTACTTTGAATATATTATCCCATACTTTACTGGCCTGTAAACATTCCGCTAAGAAATCCACTGTTAGTCTGATGGGGATACTGATATATTTTCTCCAGGTGTCTCTTTTTATGCTGATAGTATCTGCACTATATCTAGATAATAAGGCATGATTTTAGGTTCCTTATACTCAGTAAATGAGAAGAAAGATGAAAGTTTGAAGATGTAAATGTTAGAAGAAAGGCATACATTTAGTCTCACAGAATTTTAATTCCATTTGCATTTAGTCTCACAGAATTTTAATTCCATTTGCATGGTCCAGGAGATACAGGCTTTCTAAAGTTGCCTGCACTTGTAGGGTATTAGCTGAAGCAAGATAATTGCATTAACTACATTCTTTAATCTGAGACTTCACTCATGAGTGTACTTTCAATCTTCACTGGATTGACTATCTTCTCACATAACATTTTTTTGTTGTTAGTGCAGGGAGTATAATAAACATATGTTCCATATATATATCCACAATAAGTCTTATTTAAGTCATTTATTTCTCTTAGATCCCTGAAAGAGAAAATTAAAAAATTACACTTGGCACTCCTTATTTTTGAAACATTCACAGAAAAAAGGTTACTTGGGGTCTGCATTGTCTCATTTTTTATTGGTCTGCATTTTCTCATCTAAATTTGATTTAATGTTCAGAGTATCAAGAAAGTCCAAGTTAATTGTCTGTATTGACACATATATGATGTTACACATTGCTTTATTTCTTTCTGTTTTTCCCACTTTCTCACATCTGAAATATTTTCTGTCTTTCATTTCCAGATAGCACTACCTCCTCTGAATATCAAATATGATTTAAATCAATGCCATTTCATAGGATTCTCTAGTCTAACTGGTTTAGTAGTAAATCTTGGATAATTGTCTTCTTTGAGTGTTTTTTGTAATTACTCAAATCAGGAATTAAACTAATGTATGACACTTTAAGTTCAATATCATCTCCAAGTGACATCTTTCGTAGACTTTGCCCTGAAGTTCTAATTACCAGTCCACAAATACTAGATTAGTAATTAGAGACTATGCATTAAAGACACATTTATAAATTAAAAATATTATATTTTGGATTAATGTAACATCAACACTTAAATCTATAAATAATGATCAGCAATCAGTAAATAAGCTCATTAATTAAGTTTTCACGAATGAGATTTTTTTATTTGTTGACATAGTAGAGATGTCACTTATTGCCACCTCCTTCCAGAAACAATTCCCAAAATAACATTGAGAATAAAAAACAAAAGGAAATTATATATACATATTTGTATTATGCATGCATTTTTTCAGTACTATTTTTGATAATGTGGATTTTCTGTTACTTGTCACTCCATTATAGATTACCTTTCTAATTTCAATAATTACAAACCAAGTATACTTTACTTTTTTCACAAGATTCCATTTATGCTGTCTTCTGACACAAATGAGATATATCCTTCTCTGCTCAATTTGTACATATTTTGTCCTCCAATCTGTCTTATCACTGCCAACCACCAAAGATAGGGGCAGCTTGAGTTTTTAAACCACATTCCTACACTTCCTTCTTTCTATCCAAAGGAAAGAGCAAACAAACAAAACAAAACTTGTATTTGTTGTATGGCCCCCTTGTGATGAGTATGCAGGAATATCAGTGCTTAGATTCCATGTGGGAGCATCTCAACAGCTGCCTCCGAGCTCTCGCCTGCTTAATGTGTCCTGAACTAAAAATATATGTGAGAAATGTTGAACTTCCAACAGTATCAGCAAACTGAGACTCTGGTTTCTTTCTTTAGTTTGATACTGTTTCCCAAATTTCAGGGTTATAAACTATAAAGGAAATTTTGACACAATTTTTATATAAAGCTTTGATTGTTTTCCATTACAAGCAGAACAAATACAAACTATAAAACCATTTATAATGGTGTATTTAGTAATAGTGGGAAATTGTTGGGGAGGCGGGATTGTCAGTTGTAGGATTCTGCTGGGGAAGGGGGGACACATCTCATCAACAAGGGTACCTGCATAATGAATATTTGCATACTTAACTCTGAATTGTAACCCACATCTTTTAAATAAAACCATTTTTAAAAAATAAAAAAGTTGATTCACACCAAAAAATAGTGTATTTATAACTACATTTCTCAGTATATTATACAACAAATTGTTTTATATAATATTTTATGTGCAATATACCATATTGAGCTTATTTCACCCTTTTTTTTTCTTTTTTGAAAGCAGGATTTATTGAGAGGACAGAAAAGCTCCCACAGTGGGAAGGGACTCGAAGGGGTTGCCCTATTTCATCCTTTTTTGACCTGAAATGCTCTTCTAGTCAGTCTCTATTTTTCATTCAAAAGTACCCCTTTAAAATGTCAGTTACAACAAAAATTCCAATGCTAAAATTTATTTTTGGTCATTTTGTGCATTCTTATTGAATCATTTATCATACTTTGTTCTTTTAATCTCTGGAATTATTCACTCTGCACACAGCTGATAATTAAGTAACTTTAAGGACGAATCAGTCTTTCATTCATCTTTGAATCTCAGAACTTAGCACATATTATTTGTTAGAGTCCAATGAGTTTCAAAAGCTTCTGTAATTTTCTTAGATAAAAACATTTTACAGAAATTCTCCATGGTTTAGCTACTATAAGTTTGTTAGTTACTTAAGAAATAACAAGATGTTTGTGACAACATTCTGCATTATCAAATACATCAAAGAAATCTGATAGAAAATGGTTCTTTAATGATGCGATTTTAATTGAAATTGTTTTTAACTGGAATCTACAGTATTCCTGAGGCAAATGCCTCTAGTCAAACCCAACCATGAAATTTTAACAAGAATAGATACTTACCAGGTAGAGAAGTTGATTATGTCATCTAGCTTCTCAGCGTAAGTGCGTTTTGTTTTGAGAGGTGATCCCAGCCAATAGTCATATAAAAGCTGAGACTTTATAAATTGCTACAGGAAATAGAAATGATCTTTTTTTAAGCTATTTTCTACTTTTGTTCAATATCTTATAATGCAATTTTTTTACAAATTACTGTTTTAAGGTAACATATTTGATATTGTAGATTTACTCTTTAATGATATTAAAGGGAATAGAAAGTAGTTCTTACCATAAGATTTTAACTGCTTTTTACAATATTGTCTCCTGTCTCACAAGTAAAAAGGGCCTGTTAATCCATGAATAACTTTAAATTCAATGAAAAGTTCACAACTTTCAGAATTTAAAGTTTGAGCAATAAATATTCAGTCCAAAGGCAAAGGAGTTGGCTAATGGCTATAAATAAGAGTTAATGGAAACAGAAAAAGTAGAAAAAAATGTAGCAAATTCAGATAACAGTTGTTATAGAATAGAATTCATAACCAGTTCAGAATTATGTAGCCAAAGTAACAGGTATTTTTTTTTTATTTCACATATAAAATTTTTTTCTTTAGTACATCTATGAATATAAGTTATTTGAGATTGATTTAATTAGGAATAGATTATCAATTGATTTATTCCTCTTCTATAATGAATGACAAAGATTTTTATAGTGGGGAATCAAAGATTTTTAGAAAAATATAATTTTACTTAAAATGATTACTATCTGAGGGACCAGAAATACTAAGTAACCCAGAGATATTATTTAATTATTAAATAAATAAACAAACAAATAAAACAAGCAAGCAAACTAACAGAAAACCCATCTTCTAGGACCCAAAGATTCAGTGCAGTAGATCTGTTTGACACTTGCCTGTGTCATCTTAGTTCTATTCTACTTGTATATATATCTATTTTTCTAACTTAGTATAGCTTGACTTTTTCTCTTAGTTAATAAAAAATATGAAATGGCAAAAACAAAGAATATTCTCCTTTGTGGTTTTTATGGAATTAGTAACCCCCAGGAATAATCACCAGATTCTCTATTTTTAGATAAAAATTTAGAAATCATGTTCTGAAATTTGATTCCAGAGTTCCAATTTGGAGATGCTCACAGACCTGTAGATTCTGGGTGTCCTGCACCTATCCATCCTCTTCTAAGATTCCACTGATGCTAAGGTCCTGAGTTTATATGATTTACCATAGCTATTATATTCTGGGATAAATGCACAGAGTTTTAGTCACCTCACACACCGACTAAAACTAGCCAGAATTATAAGTGGGTCAGTCCGAGCCTTCTCTAACATACCCTATTCCTGTCTGTCTTATAATGGAAAAAGTCATTTCCTGTTTCACAGGCAGAGAGACATGAGGCTTTACCAATTCACTCATGTTGTTGATCTTCAAGAGGCTGGCATTCTGAGCAGCACACATCATTTTACTCTCTTGCCATGTTTGAAGATCATCAGACAGAAGGTAACAGCTGACCTCATGCCACCTCCATCCATTTGGGCAAGGTATACATTTGTGCTCTGGAAGAACACAATTTTTATGTAGTTTGTGTTGATATATTTCATAATTCTTATTATTTCCTTTACTCTCTGTGTGACATTGACCAGATTTGTTATTTCTTCTTTTTTCATGGAAGTGGAAGAAAGTGAATCCTGTATTCTAAATCCCTATATACCACCATAATGTTTCAGACACATAACTTGAACAAGTAGTTTTAAATTAAGTATTGGGATTCAAGTGCATCTTTAATTTTAAAAAATTCTTTAATGACAATAAAAACTAATCACAGGACATATTCTGTAAAATAGGAATCAATGATTCACATCTATAATACTCCTGTTTTCTTTAACTTATAGTTCTCTGATTTGTTGAATTTTTGAAAGGCTTCTTAGCACAAGAAATGCATTTTTGTGACAATTACAACTAAAATTAATATAGATATTACAAGACCAGCTTCCCTCAGTCCCAAAGGTGAAATCTCAGTTTTTCTTCTATGGACTTTGTTATCAATCATTGACTGAAATTTGGAAATGAGATCACCTATATAGAGGGATCATTTTCTCCCTATCTCCTATTGACCACAGTGTCCAGAATAACCATACTAGATGAAAGGCTAGAGAAACTATATATTGTCTATGTTTTGTTATATAATTGTCATCCCTGATAATTTGGGGCCTAAGTTATTATTACGTTTTCTGTTTTTCTTCTAACTATTTAGAAATATCAATGAGTTTTCTGCCAACCACATTTAATTCCTCCCCCAAATTTTGACTTCCTAGAGAAAGGCAGCTAGCCAATGATGAAATGATTCTCAAGGGACTTTATTGTTTAGTTCATTGTTTAGTAAATAAGTCTAAGAGCAATACGGGATTACCTGGATTTTTTCTATATAGCTCATAACATAAATTGGTGGCTATTTTTTGCAGTACAATAGAGAGGTTCCTGATTTTGTTGGAGCTATTCATGTTATTCATCAACTGCAGAGAAACATTTTTCTGGAGTTCTTCATTGATATTTTGTAGTTTATTCACTTTTTCCACTTCTGTCTTCAAAGTTATGCCAACTCCAGATTAATAAAAAGAGACAACAAAAATGTAAAACCTCAATAAAACCATCATCCTTTATCTTTTGTAAAAGAGTATAAAGAAGATGAAATGGTTAGGGAAGCAATTATTCTACAGGAATGAGGAAAAGAGACTAAGTTCCATATTTTAAGTCCCCCCTTGTAGGCATTTCACCTATGATTACTACAAATCTTTAATTCAAAGAATTATGCTGGTTAAGTTTATTAAATTCTTGCTGCTTTCTGTTTAAATCAAAACAGAGGTAGTACATACACAAGCTTCCTAAGGTTCCCAATCCAATGAGCAGTAGAAGGCATATGAGAATCAGAGCTACGGTTGCTAGATGCCACGTATGGGAAGGAGCAGGAGGTGCTGTGAAAAGCAAATTTAACAAAGAGGACTTGAAATGGTAGACACCTTCATGTGAATTATTTACTTATCCATCCATCCATCCTTTCATCCATTTTACCTTTATTTCTTTCCTAATGTATCCCTTGTAAAGAAATAAAACTGCTTGAAACTTTAAAACATTAAAAGTAATATTTTTTGAAGAGTAAGTAAAAATCATTTAGTTATTTACTTATTATGTAATTTGTTCTGGCAGGAGAACCTGTTATCTGGTAGATTGAGTCTAGAAACAGAGAGGTAAAAACAAGGTTTACAATAGACAGCAGAGAAAACCAGTCGATTAAGATAGAGCATATTTTGTTTGTACACATTTGGAGAATGTGAGTAGCAGGCAATTAAGAGAGAAGTCAATCTGTGTAATCGTTCCTTGAGTGCATAATTGTAGCATATCAAAGAAAACAATTTCAGTTGCTTATATTTTCTTCAGATAATTCTGAGGATCTAGCTTCAGAACATGCAAGGTAGTTTGTCTCTTTGTAATGTCTTCAGGTGTCCTCCCACCAGTCTTTATTTTAGTAATTCCAATTCTATGCTATTTCTTCATTATAATTTTCAACACTTTTTCATGTTTTTTAGCAAGAAACTCTTATTGAATACTTCCATTTTTACTAAACAATATGTCCCCAAATAGATCATTTTCTATAAGATACCAGGAATTATAAACCTTATACTATGAATTAACTATTAGTAAATTACTATATCATTTAAATTATTATCATGTGTATAAATGAAGACTAGATAGTTCAAGAAAATTAATTCAGGAATAACGTTATAATCTTAATATACTTCTGATCTATGTCTTAGATCTCACAGTTCATGGGGCAATAATACTATGAAACCCAGAGAAAATTGTGACCAAATTGTGAAACTTAACTTCCTTGTACTTCAGAAAATAGTTACTAGTAGAAATAATTACTAGTACAGGATCTTATCTAAGGTTAGAATTAAATTCAAATGCTATCTTTCTCAAAATAGTTTTCTAATTTATTTGTTTTTAATTATTCAGTAGTTACCTTCTATACATTAGACACCATTCTGAGTGCTAACAATATAGAAATAAGCAAGGCACACAAGTCCCTGTTCTCATGGATATATATTTTAATTGTAATAGGAAATAAGAATCTCTCTCTCTCTATATATATATGTATATGTATATTATGTCTCTCTCTCTCTCTCTCTCTCTCTCTCTATATATATATATATATATATATACATATATATATATATATATATATAACTC